GAATCATAGGACTTGAATTGTCTATTTTGCGTATGGTTAGATTTTTTACAAAGTAAGATAAGTTTGTAGTTATGTATGGATTTTGCCTCGTATCGAATCACAAGATACCTATCATGAATCGTAATATTTTGGCAATACTGTGCACAGATAACAGAAAAATGAATTGAGACAACTGATTGCTATTAATGTTGCCATGAAACTGTTTAGTTTTTGTCCTTTTCAAAGTCTTGTGAGTTAAATCTTTTGAACTGGGCTAATCAGCACCTGTAACGTTGCCCCTGCCATATTGAGTTTGAACTCTGAAGGTTTGAGTATTGTCTATGCAACTTTCTATAGGTTGCAGAGTCAACAGCCTTGTGTTTTCTATTTGCTTGTTTCAAGAAGTGTAGTGTACAATATAAGTCATTCGAGCATGGCTTGGAGGTGGATGAGAACAAAGAATGATTTCAGTATTTGGCTTAGAGAGAAATTCTCTTTCCTGAGATCAAATTATTTGAAGAACCGCATAGTAAGTTATAGCTTTCAACTTTTCATACCGTCTGACGTTTTAGATATGTACACAGAATTCTGGCAAATCGGCAGTCTGCTGCACGTTCAAAAGAGAGGAAAGCCCGTTACATAACGGAACTTGAAAGAAAAGTTCTGACCCTTCAAACAGAAGCAACCACCCTTTCTGCACAACTCACATTATTCCAGGTGATTGTTGCATACTAGTAGCTTGCTTTAAGAATTTTTTCACATGTAACTGTTTGAGTGTTCCACAGAAATATGCTAGACCTAATTATTTTTACTTCCTCACAGTTATATTATATCCTTTTCTACATTATTTATTTGATTCCAACAAGTTTGAATCTGCATTTAGATACAACAAAATGAGTCATTGAATGCTGGTCGCTTGTTGTAGTTGATCACTTGCTTGATTATGTGGTCCTCTCTTAGATAATGGATAAAAGTTGTGCTTTCTGCTCATCCTTAACTTTTACTTTGCCCCCTAAATTCTTTCATATTAAGCACTTCAAAAATTGTTCACTCTTGCTTCTACAAAATATGGTACTGTACCAATTCGCATCTCTCTCTCTCTCTCACACGCGGGCGCACACACTTGTTATCCTTCATAGCTTCAGCAATTTTCCATTTAGGCTGAGTTTCCCTACGGGGCTAAAGGGGCTTATTTCCCTTTGGATTTTGTGAAGGAAAATAAGCCCCTTTAGCCCCGTAGGGAAACTCGGCCTGACTTTGGTTCACTTACCCTTTAGTCTTTCCTTCATAGTGTATTTTTTTACTGCTACTGGGACTGTAGTTTTCAGATCAAGGCCTTCTTTTTTCTTTTCTTTTGCAGAGAGATACAACTGGTTTAAGTAATGAAAATACTGAGCTTAAGCTTCGGCTACAAGCTATGGAACAACAAGCACACTTGCGCGATGGTAAGTTTCACCTTTCAAAGGAACTTGCATGTACTTTTCAGGGCCATGTTCAATAAACTGTTAGTTTTCCATACGTCATATGTGAAAGTACTTGTTTAGCATATCAATTAACTATATTTGAAATTGAGATCGATTTGTTTCTGGTCGTGCATTATATTAATGTCCAGTTGCCTTTTTTTCCAATTGATTTTATACCAAAGTTGTGCTACTGTATGATTGCCCATGATTTATGACCTTACCATTTGTCGATAATTGATGCAAATATTTAATCCTTGAATTATCTTAACACTACGATTGTGTCTGTCAAAATCACTTCCTTCCAGTCATTGATGTGCCATCTGAGATATATTTTTGTGATGCGACAATGTGAATTGGGTCAAATTGCGTTTGAAAGAACTTCTCCCGTTTGCTTAAAGCTAGTATAAAAATCTCTTGTCAACCTCTTTGTGCATTTTCAGCCATATGATGCTGCCTTTTACATGTCTTTTCATGACGTGTGAGATTATCAATGTAATATGATCTGTAAGCAACTGTTTCTGAAACACAGCGCTGAATGAAGCACTGAAGCAGGAAGTAGAAAGGCTCAAGATTGCCACCGGGGAAATGGCATCTCAATCAGACGCTTACAATTTTGGAATGCATCAGCATCTTCCGTATAACCAGTCTTCCTTCTATTCACAGAAGCCACAAGGAGGACCTAGCGACACCCAGCAGATGCAAATGCCACAGTTCCACTCCCTCCAGTCTAACATGCTAAACCACCACCACCCTATGCTCACGGCATCTCATTCCCAGTCACAGGCCTTCTCTGAGATGTTGCACCATGATTCCCTTGGACGTTTGCGGGGCCTAGACATCAACGCTAGAGGCTCTCATCTCGTGAAGTCTGAAGGTCCTTCTATTTCTGCCAGTGAAAGCAGCAGTACATTTTGATCCAACGGTTATGATCTGTGCTTGACCTCACCATCTGTTAAATGTCCATAGGCTAACACCTTCTTTAGCATCCCAAGGGAAACTTGGTTCAAATTTGTTTATTGATTTATTGATTTGATTCTGACATTAATTATTTGACTACGATTCGATGGGTTTCGTTCCTGATTTCTGTTTCACAATACATCTTCTGTGATGTGTCTGGAATATAGTTGCATCTATCATGCAATTCATGTTTCTTTTAGTGTTGTCTAGACCTTACTTCAAGGGGAAGGGGGAGTTCTTCTGTTGATTATGTATTCAGACTCAACTTATTTTTTGTATCATGACGATCTATTTAATCTCTCCTCTCTCGCTCTCTAATTGATCTTTTCAGTTTTGCTTGTGTGTTCGGATATGTGCTATTTTGATCAAACCTGCTTGTAGACTGTAATTGGGTTGATTGACGGTAACCTGTGCAATGCCCTAAAGGTTGCGAGGCACTAGTCGGGCGGTCAGTCACCTTTGAACTTCGAGGCCTTGTAATCGGCAACGGCGCAGCAATTCAATCAAGCAGTTTATCTGCTTTTTATCTACTCATCTATTAATCAATTTTCTGACCTGGTGGGTTTCAAGGTGCATCAATTCTTGCCCTTTTTACTTGCGGCTGTAAATATAATATAAATACTCGTCGGCATTGCAGCGGGTTCTATTGGAAGGTGAGAATAAGAACCCATTAGACATTTGTCCATCCTTTATGTTAGGGTTAATTACATATTAACTCCTTTAGACTATCACCATTATTCACCTTACTCCCTTCATGTATATAATCCTGCGCCTTGCCCTCTTAATCTATCCTTCAGTGGCCCCATTCGTTACTCCTTCGTCCAGATTTGAGCCTTAGACTCTAATACGACATGCACTTGGACTAATTTACATGAAAAAATGTCCTTTTTATTGGGATATATAATAGTATATAGAATAATTTTTGTGACTCATATTTAAAATGTTTGCAAATGTCAAAATCATAAAAATTAGAGTCAGTAGTGGGCCCTATAAAGTAAATAAATAACTGAGAGAAGCATGTTCCTAGAATTAGAGGAGGATGTACTTTAAAAAAGAAGTCAATGAGAATTTATAAACATATAAAGAGTATGCCATAAAAATTGACATATAGCAATGTATCATTAAAAGAGAGATTTTGGCCATGAATTACTCACATGTGGATGTCATATTGAACTCTAATGCTCAAATATGACGGAAGAGTACTGACACAAGGAGCCAAGTCATGATCCTAAATGATAGATTAAGGCGGCAATGTGTTGGGTATTTTAGATAAAGAGTGTAATGTGAAAAGGGTGATATAATATCTAACATAATTATTGATTCTAAATTAATTCTAAATTCCATCATAACCAAAGACATAATGCATGTACCTCGAACATACTTTAAAACTCTTCATTATAGATTCATGTATTAGAGACGTGCATGAAGAGTTTTATGAAGTACTTGCATTATGTATCTTTATGTGTGTGTACAGAGTTTCATGCATGTGGTTAATTAGTTGGAGTATAGAAGTATGCAAGACCATTATATTAATGGTCATTGGTCATTTTTTTGTACATAAAAAAAAGGAGTTAACGGGCCGGCAAAAATATAAAAGAGTATTCTTGAGTGTTTTAGGAGCTCTGTACAATCTTCGGATAGTACATCTCCATAATGATCTCCTACTATACACATGTGCATATTATTATTTGAGTTGATTTAGTTGTTGATCGAGTGTCCAACCTAAACGCTGTGCTACCCCGACATGGCAAATCATCATTTAATTGTTAATTATATATGGTTTTTATTTTTGTATTGGTTATGTGTCGTATTGGTAATGTTTTGAGACTTTCTGGCTAATGATATCACACTTTGTGGTTGCTTCGAAGTTTCAAATTTTGGTTACGGTTACAAGAAAATCTGGTACTAGATATGAAGAATTGAAATATGTATCGTCATGTGTTGTAGTGGTCATGTCATGATATTTGTTGCCCAATATTACACTTTCCTGGTGAGGAAATTAAGTATACTGCAGATTTTCAATTTTATTTTTTTGGTTGAGATATTAGGGGTGTTATTGGTTGTGTTATAACACATGGTCTTCCTGTGCTTTTTAAACCGGTACAAGTTATGATTCTGTATTGCCTTGGCATTGATTTGGGCTTTAATTTGTATATTTGCTCTATAACCTCTTATCCAATCGGGTCTAATCCGATCCATTAACAATCCTAGCGAGTCCATTGCAAGTGGCTACTTCACAACATTTTGACAGCAAAATAATAAATATACGGAGTACACAACTTGGGATGTGCGCAGGGCCGGTCCAAGGTATTTAGATGCTCTAGGCCAAATGGTGAAATTGTGCCTTACATAAAATTTTTTAATTTAAAAATAATAAACAGAAATACTTATCTATATACCATTTTCGTTCATACTATTAAACATGGTAAATATTCCGGCCTTAATGGCTTATGCGGTTGCCATAATATTCAGTGAACTCAGGTTTGAATCACAGTAGCCCCCAATTTGTGGGACAATATATTTTTTTTTATAGCAAAAAGACACTTCAATTTGTATGACGAGAATTTTTTTTTTTTTGGCAAAAAAACACTTCAAAAAAGTATCTTACCAGGACTTGAACCCAGACATCTTATGTGCAAAAACAAACGCTTTACCACTGAACTACCAAAGAAGTTTGTATTATAGATGCGCGCAGAAAATATATATACTTATCTAGGAAGAAGTGCCCCATTTTTTGCCCAAAATATAGAGGCCCAAGGCGGCAGCCTCATGGGCCTACCCCATTGGGCCGGCCTTGGATGTGCATGCGCGTATCGTTAGGCATTCAGGACATGTACCATATACAGCTTACACCAAAGATAACATGCAGGCTTATATTTTGTTATCGATGTTTTGAAGTTATGAGACCTTCACATACATATATTTTTTATTAGCTTGCTTTGCATAACTTAATCTATGATAAATTCAAGTGCTGAAAAGAAATTGAAACTTGCAAAGGAAGGGAAATTTTAAAATAGTCCAGGAGTACCACGCATACTACTTTACAACTATATATTTCTGTGAGGTCTACCGCTAAATGTATAAATGAATCATTATGTGAACATCCAATTGCAAACGTTGGGCACGTCGATTGTCCTTTCAAGAATCAAAGTCAACTAGCCAAGTACTACTCCACAAAATATAGCCAAATCCTAAGACCTGGTTCGTTTTGTGATTTTGGATTTGTGAGTAATGAGTATAGAGAGAAATAGAGTAATGATTGAAAATAAGGGCAATGATTGGAGAGAGATAGAGAGAAAAATGAGAGTAATGATTGGAGAGAAATAAGATAATAATTAGAATCAAAAATTCAAAACCCTTAAACGAACGAACTTTAAGCGAAATCTTAAGGAGTTGGTTGAGTGGAAGTATGAAAGAGGCTTGCTTCTCCAAGCTCAGAGATTCGACTCTTATAGCCAATAGAAGTTTTTTGGGGAAAAAGAATTGTCTTGTCGTTAACTTTAGGATCCTAGATTTAATTTGCAGTACGTACTCATCACAAACACACCCTCTTATAATAAAGAAAAATTTGCAGTACTCATCACAAACACATCCTCTTACGTGGTTTTGGTTTTGACTATTTATTTGGTTTAGTTTTGGCTATTTCTTTTTTGTTTGGCTTTTCGGCTTGATGTGGATGGGGGCTTAGGTATAAGGTGTGAGGTCTCGTTTGGGTTTTTGGCTGTTAAGGTTCTGTGGATGTGGATTTCTTTGTTGTCCAGTTGACGTCTTGCCTTCTTTTAATTCTCGAGTGGCTTTTGTCGGTGTGCCCTTTGATCCTTTTAATTTTTGTAATCCTTTATAAAGATTAATAAATTCTTTTTGCTTAGGAAAAAAAAAAAACATACCCTCTTATAATAAAGAAAAATTTGCAGTACTCATCACAAACACATTCACCCAGATAAAAACATTGAACAAAGATATATCATGTCCGTGAAAAGAGCTTTATGATTTGAGAGAAACTTAATCACTGTTCCGCGTAATTTCAGCTGTCCGTTTCGGCAATCATTGGTCCGGATTTAAAAAAAACTCTTCCAGCGAATAGTATTTTTAAAATCCGGATCGTCCAATATGCTTTTAGACACGCGCGATTGAGCACTACCATAAGGTATTTAAAGAGTTTTTCTCGTATATTTATGAATGAAAAAAGAGCCACCTGATAAAGTCGCAAATCACACATCTTCGTAATTTCAAATATATAACTGTCAAAATTAAGGAGTCATAAAGGTCATAGTTAATTGAGGCATGCAGCTTGTAGACCATTAATGAGTTAGGGATTGAGATTGGAAGACAATTACTAAAATTGTGCAGCTGAGAGTGCAAGTATTGAGACTGGAAGACAATTTTGATGGACATATCAGATCCTGTTACATCCCTTGCAAACAATAAGCATATATGCAGTTAACTGATCAGAAAGGTGCACTGCTAGCTGAACAGCTAATAATTCCTAACTCAGAAAGGTATAGTGCTGCTAGCTGCTGCCCTTGTTGGATCATCGATCCCATCATGCAACATATATATATATATCATGAGGAACATAAAAGATAGGGTGAGGGACCCCTAAGCTAAACATATATAACTAACAAACATATATGCCCCACCAAATTAGAGGAACACCATGAATGTCCCTACTTGCTCAAACCACCATGCATGAAATTATTGCACATGCATGTGGACCAATTTATGTACGGTGTAGAGGTGACTCTTATTCATATTTTGCAATTTATAAAACATTTTTAAAAACTCTGCCACATAAAAGCTTTATTTTATTTTACCGGTTGAAGAAACATTTTATTAAGAGGGAGGGAATTTCAACCAAGGGTTGAAAAATACATTCAGATGGGACAAAGCCTGATATAACTGATGGTCTAAAAAGCCTATAGATAAAATAAATAAAACTCAAAACACCTGATGGTCTAAAAATCCAAATATTACAATTAAGCACAAAAAAAACCTAACACATCAAAATGGGCTAAGCCCAGCCCAACAAACCCAAAACACAACCCTAAACTTTTGATAATCTTCCACCACCGTTGCAACCCACCAAACCAGATAGCCGCCATCGCTGCTTTGCCAAATAAAACTAATTGAAATCTATAAAATAAGACCATATTACTTATAAAAAGCATTGTAAGCTGAAAAATATTGAATTTTTTTTTAGAGGTCTGAAATGGATCTGTCTGAAATAGTATTGAAATTGCCAAAGCCCTTAGGCAACAATATATATATATATATATATATATATATATATATATATATATATATATATATATATATATATATATATATATATATATATATATATAACACGGTTTACTGTGCGGATCTCGCTTTCCCGATCAAATTTTGAAGATCCGAGCCCCTTAAAGTGATCAGAATGTGATTTTAAGAATAATTGAGAGAAATTGGCAAAAAAAAAAGAAGAAGACCGGGAAGGGCTTGATCGGAGCAGTTTTCATTGAATGGTTCAATAAAAAATTGCTCAAATCAAGCCATTCCCGGTCATTTTTTTTGCTGATTTAATGTGGGTACTCTTAAAGCACGTTTTGCACACTTTGAGTGGCTCGGATCATCGAAACTTGCTCGAAAAATGGGAGGTCCGCATGGTAGAACCGTAAGGGATCCCCCCCCACCCAACTTGGTGTTTCATATTTTCCCGCCCTTTTCAGGTGCAGGTAAGAAGTTATTTGTATTATGAATTATCCTAATTCCAATCCCAGCCCAACCTACAGGGCGTGTTTGTTTGAGGGATTAATTAAAGGAATGATTGTGGACTAACAATCTTCATGGGAGTTGAATTGAACATACATACACAATACCGTTGTGCTAACTTTTTCCAATACCGTTGTGCTCAATGGCTTTGTTAGGAATTTGATGTCGTTTTTTTTATTCTATTAGTCTTTGTAACATTTTCAAAAGTTTATGAATTTATTTTTGCTGTTTTTTTTAAAAAAAGGTTTCCCAATTGTTTAATCAGTATTCAATATCACTGACCCTACTATTAAGTACAACTAGAAAGTAACCACTCATAGTCCCCACTTCTTGTTTAGAGTCTGTCCCATGCATGTTGGGGGTCATATTAGCCTCTCACAAGTGGGACAATCCCTTGTGAAGGGCACTTTCACGAGTTCCTAACCAAACAACATTTGGATAAGAAATGGAAAATATTGATCATGTCCTATGGCAAAACTTTTCTCCCCTTTGATTATGTCATTCTCAATTCTGTTGTGTCCTATTCACATAATTTTGATTTGTTTAGCATCTTCCCTTCCTTTAGATTTTGGGTGGCTTTTTGCCGGTGTACCCTTAATTAATTTAGATGCAGTTACAGCCGTTCGATCATACTTAATAATAAGGTAATAGCCGTTGGATCAAATGAATGAAGGTTTCCTAATTTATTAATCTACATTGCTCTCTCTCTCTCTCTCTCTCTCTCTCTCTGATTAAGGCATTGTATTCAAAACCACCCATTAAGGCATTATTCAAATGAAAACCAATGGATTATGATGTTTATCAATGGATATGTTTTTTTTAAACGGTATCAATGGATATGTTGCATTATTGTTTATCGTATAGTTGAATTTCTTGGACACGGGTTGGTATATTGCACCCAAGTTCAGTATCAATTTGCGTGTGGTGATTGTTTGAGCCGTATATTGCATGCGAGTTGGGTGGTTCTGGGGACCCTTAAAAAATCCTCTAAAAAAACCCTTCAAATCTCAATTTCATAATTTCCTATCAAATTTTAATGATCTGAGCCGCTCAATGTGTCCAGAACGTGATTTTAAGGGTACTTATGGGAAATGGCAAAAAAAATAACCGGGAAGGGTTTGATTTGAACAGTTTTTTATTGAACCGTTCAATAAAGTTCAATAAAAATATTCAAAGGGTCTAGGAACAGACCTTTAAAATACTATGTCAAGAGCCGTTAAATGTATGTGATTTCATGTGTATCTAAACTATCTTGTGGTAGTTGTAAATAAATGGTGAAAAAACTATTTCAATGCGTCCTTCTCTATGTGAGCATTTACAATCTTATATATATATATATAGTGCTTGCCCGTGCCTACGGCACTACGCATCCCTGTTGGAATTGTCCGTGCCTATGGCACTTGCTAGCTAGTGGCTCAAAACACTAAATCGTGATCGCTGAAATGAGGACATGGTTTGACAACGACCAACAAAAACACACACAAAGAGAGAGAGAGAGAGAGAGAGAGAGAGAGAGAGAGTCATGAAGAAATTGTCATTTCTGAAATGAGGACATAGTTTGAGTGATTTAAATTTTGAAGCTCTTGAAATCGAGAGACATGTTCCACGCACCATATTAATTTTATATTAATTTCATTATCACTATTCATCCTGTAATTTTGAACACGCATCAAAAAAATGAGAGTCAAATAAATGGTGTTACAACTGGTAGAAACTTGTTAAATAAAAACCTAACAATTTTTCACTTTTCGAAGAATCTGCCAATATAGTCCATAGTCTCCGTACCAATATTTTGATGAAAATATGTTTTGAAGAAAAGAGCATAAAAGTAAAAAAATGTGTTTTTCATGCAAGCTTAAGTTAAAGTGTAACGCCCTTGATTTTTGGGTACGTTAAATAAACATTTCATTGATAAAATCA